GGCAGGCGGCGCCCCGCGGGCGCGACTCACAGCGTGCCCAGGCGGTGGCCGGTCGCGGAGACCAGGGGGGTGCCTGCACGGCAAATTGGGGGGGGGATTCATCTGCCACGCGGCGCGGCCACCGGCTCGGCCGCGGCCCCAAATTCGCCGGCCGCGTATCGGCCCTGGCGGGCCAAGGCCGCTCCCGTCGGCTAAGCCAGGACCAACCTGGGCGCCGGCGGGCGCCCGCTCCGCATCAGACGCTGTCCCTCCTCCCAAAACGGCTCTTTGTTTTTCTTTGAAACGAATAATGTCTTCCGTGCAACGAGCCCAACAATGCGATGCATTATTTTGCTTGTTGTGATGCGTCTCCCCCTTCGAGCCCCCCACAAACAGGTCCCCTCCGGCCGCCCGAAGCCGCCCGCCCGCGCACCCGCGTAGAAGCCGACCTCCCCCGTCCGTATAAGCGGCAGGTCTGCAAACCGCGCGTCGGCGCGCGCGTTGTTCACGATCAGCGGCTGCGGCTGCGGGTTGGCCATCGTCCAGCCGCAAAAAGAGTGGTACCTGCGAGATGCACGCGTCCAGGGTTTAGGGGGTTTTGAATTTGGGGTTGAGACCCGGGCCCAGCTGGCCTGTGGCGGTACGAGGAGTGCCAAGGGGTCAAGGGGCCGGGTTGAAGGGGCGGGGCCGCTGTGCGGATGGCTGGGTGCGCGCGGGGGCGGCGCGGGGGACGGGGCACGGACGCCGCCGCGGCGCTGCTGGCAGTGACATCAGCGGTGAGGTCACCCGGCAGGGCGGCGGCGGCGGCGGCCCACCAAGGGAAGCTGCCCTCGCCGAAATTGTGGGACTGCTTTATGAAGATCCGCCGGTCGCCGAACAGCGCTGTCGGACGGCCGGCGGCCGCGGCGGCGGCGGTGAGGCGCGGGGACAGAGGGTGCGTTGGAGGGGTTCGGGGGGCTGCACAGGGAAGCATGGATCCGCCGTTCGCGAATGAGAGCACTGCTCAGCAAAACGCACGCCAGTAAAGGGCGCACGCGGACGCCCCGCCCGCCCTCGGGCTGAAAGGGGGTGCCTCGTCGGGCCCCGGGCGCCCGCCGCGCCGCTGCTCACAGCAGCCCCGGCTCACCTATGAGGGCGGCCTTTGTATTGAAGATCCCGCAGAGCAGCGACAAGATGTTGTTGAGTTGCGGCGTCGGCGGGGAGTCCTGCAAGCGAGCCATGCAGGAGGGTGGAAGGGGCGCGTTCGGCGCAGGGCGCCTGGCGAGGGCGCGCGGCGCCGGGCTGCTTTCCGCGCGGTCGGTGCCGGGGAGTTGTGGTCTGCACGCGCCGCGCCCGCGCGGCCGCGGGCGCCCACCAGGATATTCAGTTCGTGCATCCACGCCAGGCGCTCCGCCTCGCAGCCCGGCAGCGGCGGGCCCGATATGTGCGGCTGGTAGGCCGCGCCCGGCGCCGCGCACGCGCCGAGCGGCGCGCCGCCAGGCGCCGCGGCGAACAGGGCGGCCATCGGGCCGTTGGGCGGTGGTTGGGGGTGGGGCAGCGCCGGCGCCGGCGGCGCGGCGGCGGGGGCGGCGGCGGGCGCAGCGGCCGTGCTGATCAAGCAGGCCTCTGCAGCTGCGGCGACTTGCGCTGCCGCGCGCGCCGCCGTGCCCGGTGACGGGGCGGCGGCACGGCGGCCCTTCGGCTCGTCTGGTCGTTCGTAGCTCATTAACTGCGGATACAGTAAAAGGCGTACCACTGTATCACCGGGTCCAGGCGACGATCAACAATGTACTCTAGCAAAATCCCCGCGCTTACCGTAACGACCGAGGAGGTACCTGCTCCTCCTCCTCCTCCCAGACACCCGCCTCCAGATACGGCCTGACCCATCCAGGCAGCCGTGCAGTGGGACGCCCACACCCAGATTGGCCGTTCCCACCCCGCGACGAGTCGATGATGGATTTTGATCCTGAACGCAATGTGATAAGCCAAGCAGGCGTTGATCAACACATACAATATAGAGGGTGCATGCGTCCCGCGTCCTGAAACAAACTGCCAAGCGCATTTCACGCCTTCTCACCCACTGGGCGCATGCGGCAGCGGTGACTGGGCGGCCACACTGCGCTTGATACTCTCTGACGAGAGTGCCGGTTCGCAATGAATCATCCATCGCGCTCTCCTGTGCATAAGGCCCACCCTGCTGCTCTGCCAGGCTGGTGCGGCGTTGACGAACCGGCGCCGCTTCGCTGCGAGTTTGGGTGGTGACTTGCCGCACGGGAAGGCGGCTGGGACGGGGCAAAGCAGATGATGGCATGAGTACTGCACGCATTCAATCCCGCACACATCATGATGCAGCCGCGGTTTCCCTTGCCTATGCCCGGTTGTGCCCGCGCCTGTCTGGCGCAACTGTGCAACTGTCATGCCCGACCGCACACACGCGCGCGGTCATGCACACGCTTTTCGCCATTGGCCGGTGGCAGCGCACCGCCTTTGCGCACGGCTGATGTGTAGTTCACACACTCTTGGTTCCTGTGTACACTTTGTGAGCACTCCCTGCTGCCCCGTCGTTAACGTCTGGTAGATTCAGTGCGCTCGGGTGCTTGAACAGCAGTGCTGATCATGGGCTGGCACGCCTCTGTGAGGGGGGCGCTGGTGATGGTGGCCATGGTGCAAGTATTGGTAGGACATATGGGTCCAGGGCAGCCTAAAATTCTTGACAATTCGCAGTAATGTTGGTGCTGCCATGAAGTGATGGATGGGCGCAAACATGGCAGCATGTCGAGCGAGCATCACACTGTGTCAAGGCAGCAGCGGTGGCAGCGGAGGCCGCGGCGGCGCGCCGGTGTTGGCACTATGCGGCGGAGGTGCTCTGGGCCACAATTCATACAGGGTCTATAAAACAGCAACCCGCAGCCAATGTTGAACCCCGAAACGATCGGTTTGAAAGCAGAATCAGACCTTGCAAGCTACAGTATATCGCCGCACTGGCGCCCTCGCTTCCCCGTCAGCAAGCGTACAGTGCGCCTTGTGCACCCCTTGGCGCGGCAGCCCCTGCAAATAGTATCGTATGGTTGCAGTAAACCCATGGATAGCATTCACTGGGCTTGTCTGAGCCGCTCACACCGTGCCGGGTGGGCAGCCTGGCATGGGCCTGAGAGGAAATAATGGAAGCGGCGAGCGGCGCTCGCTGGCGAGTATGATACAGTGTGGACCCCACATTGTATCCTGTGTTCAAACATCACGGCGGAATGAGCCCTATCAACCTACTTTGTTGAATCTTGTACAGAGCTACAACATGATGTGTCGCCCCGGCTCTGTGACAGCAGATCGACCCACAGCTTGTCGCATGGCACACACCCTCTACAATTTCGAGCAGATGATCAGTTGTTTATTGTGATTGATAGAGGCTTATTGGCTGGGGAAGTACAGACCCTGCAACTTGCGTGCACAGCTCAGCGCAGGCTTGGGCGCTTGTTACGTGCTGGATTACGCACAATATATCATACCGAATTGTTCGTAACCCTCGCTTGGGGCCCGCGGCTGGCGGCGTCGCCAGCGGCGCGCGGCGCGCATGCTTGTGCTCGACGCGACGCCATGGGCAGTGGTGGTGGCGCTGCTCGCCGCCGCCGTCGCGGTCGCCGCAGCGGGCGGCTCCTGCCTGGCCGCCGCGCTGGCATCCCGGGTCGCCCGGCGGCGCCGCAGCGCCGCGGCAACGGCGCCCAACGGCAAGGCGCTCGATCGCGGTGACATCAACGGTCATCATGGTCTGGATGGGCCAGCGGATGGCGCCGCGTGGCTGCGTGTGTTCGGCATCCGCGCCAAGCAGCAGAAGCAGCAGCAGCAGCAGCAGCAGCAGGGCGGCGCGGCGGCGCTTTTGAGGGAGGCCAAGGGGGGGCCATTCTTGGTGTCGCACCCGGTGGCGCTAGACGGCAGCGAGGACGACGGCGATGGCGTCGACGTGCCATGCCATGCGTGCGGCGCCGGAACCACCCCGCACGCCCAGCAGCAGCAGCAGCAGCAGCAGCAGCAGCAGCAGCAGCAGCAGCAGCAGCAGGACGGCGCCGGCACCTCGCCTGCGCCGCCCCCCGCTCCGCCCGCCCGCGCGTCGCTCGCGCGCCGCGCCCGCGGCCGCGCGTCGGCCGCCGCCGCGGCTGTCGCAAAGGCGGTGGACGACGCGCTCGCGCTCATAGCGTCGCTGCCGCGCACGCTGCGCACGCTGGGGTGGGCGGTGAGGGCGGGGGTGAGCTACAAGCGGTTCCTTATGAGCACGGACCCCTTGATCGACCCTGACGGCTTCAGCAGAGGGCTGAGTGAGCTCCATGATTATTGGGCTCAGGTGAGCACGAGGGTTGGGAGCTACCATTGAGGCCGTGTGCTCCCGTGTCGATGCCTACGTCGGCCGGCCGGCTGGCTGCGGGATGGGGCGAGTAACGGACGCGTTCCGCACGGCAGAAGCAGGCGGTGAGGGTCAGCCTGTTGGGGTGGGCGCGCCGCCCACCGGACGGCCGCGGCCGACCTAGCGCGGGGCCCCCGCTCTCGCCGCTCTCCGGCCCGTCGCCACCTCCCCACACGCACCCCCACCCCGCGCCTGTTCCCGTGCCCCCGCCCTCGCGCACCCCCCGCCTCAGCGCCTGATGGAGGTCTGCCGCTACAACGGCGGCGTGTACGTGAAGACCGGCCAGTTTGCTGCGGCGTTCAGCTCTGTGCCGAACGAGTACCGGAAGCACTTGGCGCTGCTGCAGGTGCGGGCGTTTATTTGGAGCTCGGGGCTTTTCGTCTCCACTGTGAGGGTGTGGTTTTGGGGTGTGGGGTTGTGCAGTGGCGGTCGCGCCCTTGTGTGATCGTCTTCATGCCCAGGAGAGAGGCCCAGCTGCGCATGCGAAGGGCTCGGTCGCACTCGGCAAGGCGGAGCGCTGATTTGTGCACAGGCGGGCAAGCTGCGGGGCCGCTCCAAGGGGCGGGTGTGGCAGCTGGGACCAGCGATCGAAACCCTTTGCGCCGCACTGGAGCCGCGGCGCCAGCTGTGTGCTTTGATTGCCAAGGAAGCCGCTGACGCGACCCCCGCGGCTGCCCCCGTGGCTGCTCCGCGGCTGTGCGGCCGCGCCCGCAGGACAAGGCGAAGATGCGGCCGTTTGCGACCGTGAACCGCGTGATCCGGCGGGAGCTGGGGGCCAGCGCTGAGGAGGTCTTTGCGGAGTTCAGCGCCGAGGCAACCGCCGCGGCGTCGCTGGCACAGGCGAGGAAGGGGGAGGGGCGCGAGAGGCGG